AGGAGTCGGGGAGAGGTAATTTTGAAAAATTAGTCGGATTTACACAATTAAATATATTAATTAATTTTTAAGCGACGAAATTTTCAAGACTTTACCGTATTTGATGTTGTTTCGCATTCTTTGTGTTGTTTCCATTTTTCAGAACAAAATATGATTTACTATTTTTAAATCTTAGTTATATTGTAAATTTTTTCAGTCAGAGAGAATATATCTACCTCTTATAAAGAATTTGATTTTCAGTTACTGTAAAAATTAATTGCACACCAAAATGAAATTCATAATTCATTATACAGAAATATCCATAATATGATAAATTAAATAAATCATAAAATAAGTGAACCACACTTACTGTCTGAAGATCTCGTATTTGTTGTTCAGCATGAATCAGGCTGGACTGCATCGCCAGCAGGACCGCGTCCTGTTTCTGTGCCCTCTGCTCCAGACTGGCTATCTTCTTGGCCTCTGCTGAACAGGTCTTGTCTGGTGCAGGAACGGTCAGTGTGTAGGCACACTGGTCACTGTTGGTCACTACATGAGGTTTGGTGGTAGTGGTCAAGTTAGGGGATAACTGACCAATGCATGCAGTTACAAAGCACTGCAGGAGAAATGCGATGACTAGCATGTTGATGTTGCTGCTGTGGCCGCAAGTATTCAACTGAACCAGTTCTCTGCTATGTCAACCTTATAGATAGACCGAACAAAAAAGGTCAACATATGGGATCAATTCCCGGGCCCTATTGTACTTACTTTGGATCGATCTATCTCCTAGGAGATTCTTGCTAAATTGCAATCAACTTAAGCACCTTAGATGTCTGTCATGCCTATACTGAAGCTGATAGTGGGTAATTAACTATCGTTTGGCAGCTTTAGTAGGCGTGCCAGACATCTAAGCTGCTTAAGCTGAAAGCAATTTGGCAAGAAACCCCTTGGAGATGGACCGATCCAGTTAGATCAATCTAGGTATGGGAACCCAGTCATAGGTACATTGTAGGTATGTTGTAGTAGTTTCTGTAGTAACAGTTGAGGTGTCTGCTATGATAATGGATATATTTTGTCCAGCAGACAGGAATATCAAAATTAACTAGATGAAGAGTTTGAGGAACATGGTGTTGCTTTTGTGTCAGGGTCTTATGGAGAATCTGGTTTCTAATACCTTAAATTTGACATTAGAGTGTCTTGGCGGAGCGGTGTCCTTTCATATTAGGAGGTTATCTACGTTGTGTAGGTTGGTTATCTACAAATTTAATTTAGTTGATTATTTTGTTGAACAGTAAGTCTGCCTGTCTGTTCACTGATGACAAATTTGGGTCAATTGTGTACTTAGACTGATACTAGCTTTATAGAAGTATAGATAAATATTGTAGCCAGCCCTGGGAAATATGAAACTGAAGAACGAGATTGATAATATATGAATATTGCTATCATTATCAAGGTTTTATCGGTGAATGTAATGTTTTTATTACAGGATGTATAGAAAGTATAGAATTTGTATAATGTAAGATTGCACATTCAATGATACGGATACATTCTCTTTTTTGCAGGAAATACAGGAGTTAAAAGAAGCTAGAGACAGGGTTAAAAATAGTGGAAGCAAAACTGAGCTCCGTCTTGAAACAGAAATTAAGTCAAGGTCAGACCTGGAGAAGAGAAACACGACCTTGGAACAGGAAATGACAAAGGTGAAAAAAAGTACTTTTTTAAAATTTTAAAAACAAAAAAACAAAGTTTCTATTTTTATCACCAAAACTTGTCAGAAGGTAATTTGAGATGTAATATCTCAGATTTAAGGTGAGAGACTGTCAGTAAAATTTATTATTTTATTTAATCATAACTTTTTTGTTATTTTTTATTAGTACGTTTTTCTTGGTATTGTTTATGTTTTTGGTATAATGAAAATATACATTATGTCGCTCTGTTTCAAATCATAATTACTTTGTCTATGGAAATATTTTCCATAGTACCTTTTAATATTATTTTTTTAAAGAAAGACATAGCCATTTTTGTTGTCCTGTATCCAAATTTTTTTTTTAATCCAGTACTACATATTCTGACAATTGCAGGTGCTAAATCAGACAAAGGAACTACTGGAAAAAGTCAGACTTCTTGAAGATGCCAACAAATTTTTGGAAGAAGAATTAGAAAGGGTATGGTGCTTCATTTAACATGATATTTTGTCTGTAATAACTTAAGGAGCTTTTTTGTCAACGCCTACATGTATGTTGACTCAAGAAATACCTATCAGATTCTATTCACTTAATTGTGACTAATTGCCACCATTATTATTATTTCCATGAACACCAACATCATTACTTTAAGCTTTAAGGTCAACATGGTCAACTGTTAAATTTTCTCACTAAAATGACTTAAAGATATTCTTTTTGTTTAGAATATCTACATAATTTTTTATTATACAGGTATTATCATGATATTAATGTTATTATTTTCTGATTGATTTTATTCAGAAGCGTGGCGTATCCAAACAGACAGAAATGCTGTTTACCCAGAGAGCCAGCGACCAAAGCATGCAACTCCAGATGTCAAACAACCGGGCCGAGAACGCAGAGAGAAGGGTAAGTGTTGCAACCTGTGCTGTTGGGTGCTGTTCACATCAGAGCTAAATTAGACCAGAATTAATTTAAGTATGGGACCGTTCACAATAAATTTTATTGACCTATTTAATGTGCACGAACTCCACGGGAATTTGCACTGAATGCAGTCAGGTTAACATGCCTCCTCCTGGCATTGTGTAGAATATAGAAAACCTGGTGTTTACAGGCCCCGGTTTCACAAAAAATCTCAAGTCAGGTTCCCTGACTGAGAATTTAATTACCAAGGTTACAGGGTCACATGGGCACATCTCATCCTATCAGGAGTGGTGTACCAGCACTCTCATGGGAATCCTAGTCAACTAAGCCAGGGAACTGACTTAAGTTTTTTGTGTAACTGGGGCCAGGAGCAGGTTGGAAATAACAAGAGGCATGTTTGTCTGTTAATCTGATTGCATACAGCAAGAGTCCCCATGGAACCTGTGCGCATTAGCTTGATTGACAAAATTCATCTTGAACAGTCACTATGTGATGTTTGTTAGTGTATTATTATTTAATATTTTCTCAAAGGTCTCTTGTTTCATAAGTGTCAAAGGACTTTATTTAGTATTTCATAACTTGTATACTACATATAGCATAGTCATGAATCTTTCAGTTTAGACTCTAGAATGCAATGTGCAAATAGTATAAAAATGCATTTGTAGTTAGACATTATGAATGTCCAACTAAAAATGCATTTTTGTACTATTTAATTTCTGTTTTCAATGTTCTTTAAAGTTTCTTTTCATTTCCCTATGTGTTAGTATTTATGTAAGTTTGTAAAATTTCTCAAATTTTCAACATGACAGGCAATGCAGGTGAGTTGTCTTATATCTTCTGGTATTTTCTGTTGAAAGGGTCTTATTTAATCTGAAGTTTTTACTGTATGATAATACCATTTCTATTTCATTGTAATGGGAAAGGGCCAATATTCAATGTCTGCTTGTTTATTTGTGATATGTAGGCATTTCTTTTTTGTTTGCTTACTGCTGAAAATCATAGAACCATCAAGGTGAATTATATTTATATCTTCTTATATATTATGTATTTGTCTCTTCAGCAAGAAAACAGATGCATACATATGCCTATTTGTGCGTGCGTGCGCTCTGACGCCTGCACACACCAGCTTACAAGATCCGTGTTTTAGTAGTGTTGTGCCTTTGCAATTTATGTGCCCAGTAATATTGACAATTCATGATTAAAAATGATTACAAGTAAGATCATAAGAAATTAGCAACTGAGAACACACACACATACACATGTACATACCCTCTCCCACACGCACACGTATATTGTCCACATATATTAAAAACTAAAATTGTTGCTAAATTTTTTTTCTGAATTAACATGCATATCACACTGAGAAGATTTGGAGGTACATGTAAGAATGAGAAGTTATAACAGAAGTGCCCACCCACAATTATTTTATTATTTATGATACATATATTCAAATGCACTGTTTTGTCACATCTAATTGAATTTTCATCCATTAAATTTTGTCACCAACAATGTCAACAACAAGAAGAGACTCTACAACTACTGAGGATAAAGGGAGGAGGGAGGGGGTACCTTCCCCCCTGAATCTTGGATAAGCCAATATGTACTCAGCTTTGATAATATCAGCATGTTCACATTGCGTCTTATATAGCCACAAGTACTGTATTAAGTATTATTTCATATTGGGTATTTGTTGCATATGATTAAATGTGTCTTGTTTGCACCAGAGTGTACATGTACTGAAATTTATTTTCACTGCCATGATTAACTAGTAACTATATATATTGCCATTCCTAAACTGGTGGAGGGAATGTAGCCTGTTATTTACATATTATTTATTGTTTTGTCTATTTGTTATTATGGCATGATGTTGTCAAATATGAATTCTTTTTTGTATAGTAGTACCAGTCCTCTTTTTTCATAGATATTCTCATTGTGTACCTCACAGAAATATTCAGAGAATACATGTCTACCTGTGACCCCACCCATCCTCTTTTCTCTTCTGACTATGTTATTGTACATGTCTTTCATCTGTCCTTAGATTTACCAGCTATAGATTTATTATTAAATACACCTGAAAGTAGAAAGTGTATTTATTTAGCAGAACTGTTCCATTTCAATTCTTTTATTGTAAATATTTCATGGACCTCCAACGTATTTCTTTGACCTTGACATTTCAGCTGACCTCATTCCAATTGGACCTTAACCTTGATATGTAAGCTGACCTATTTCTAATTTGACCTTCACCTTGTTGTTTCAGGTCAATGAGCTCCAAACTGACCTAGAAGAGGCCTTGTCACGCCTGCAGGCAGCTGAGCATCAGCTACGAGAGGGACCTGTCCTTCGTATGGAACTTCAGACTACCAAGGATGAGCTAATTCGCCTGCGAAATAATTTACAGGAGGAGAAACTACAAAAGTAAGTAACACACACACACACACACAGAGAGAGAGAGAGAGAGATGATGATGATGAATATTGGTTTATATCTCCTCCATCTTGAATAGTACAGGATTCATTATAAAAATGTTATTGACTACACTGTATAACTCAGTATTAATTAAGGTTGACAGAAATTTGTCAAGTTATGGTCACTTTTATTTTTGCCAATCTCATTTTTTTTTTTTTTTAATTTAAAATTAATTTTTCAACCAATTGCCCAGGTTTTCATATGATATTTTAACAAAGTAAAGTGATATTTTAAAAAATACCAATGTATATATGGCATGTCAGAAATTTTATGGCCATAAGAATGAATGAACAAAGCATTACCATCTATATTAAAATTGCTTTTAGACAAATCTCCACACAGAACTGTGAGGAGCTGAAGCAGCAAGTAAGCTCTCTAAAGGACAGAGAGGCCAGGCTACAGGCAAAGAATAAAGAATTACAACACACTCTTTTGGATGTGGAGGCTAAAATGAACAACATGAAAGACGAGACAAAGTCTGTGAATGACATGGTGAGTCTTGTGCTGTCTGGTAGCTGCACAGCATGTTGTCCATTCAAATCACTATTGACTTCTTGCCATTGGCCTATGTTTAAATATGTCTTGAACAGCTGCAGGGTTAGCTACTGTAACAGAAAACAAAACAACCAAAAGCAGTTCCATTGCTGTTTCAGTGGGTTTATTGTATTTCTCAGTCTTAATTTCAACACCATATCATATATAATTTAGGACTTGTGAAAAGGGAAAAGGAAATCTGTATTTGATAGCATTTGGAAAGAAAAAAAGCTGTGCATCTGTACTGTTATAAATGATGCAGCAAATATTCATAATGACATATCATTTGTGTATGTAGAAAAAAGTATTATTTTGTTCAAATAATGAATAAAAAATATATATATCCAGGCCAGTGATTGATGTTGTATATTTCCCTTACAGCATCACTTAACAGAGCAAAGCAAGCAGACCCTGGCAGGCCAGGCTGCAAAACTTCAGCAAGAAACTGAAACTCTTCAGTTAGAGCTGCTCTCAGTATCAGAGAAACTCCAGGCACAGACTAAGAAGAACCAGGACAGGAAAAATAGGCACAAGGCAAAGCTTCAGAATGCGAGGTACGTGTGTCAATGAACATAGGCACCAGTAAATATCTAAACTACATCTAAAATATCGTAAAATCTGTTTACTTCAGAACTGTCAAGATGGTTTTTGCTCTTTCTGAAAACTTGTGTAAATTTATAAAAACAAAAAAACTTTTAAAACTTTTTTTAAAGAATGAAAAAAATTGAGGAACTGGTTCAAGTCTCAGGATTCACAGTAGAACACATTATTGTGGCTGAGAAACTTCAGTAACTTATTATAGTAAGCTTCAAAACCTGTTAATTTACTAAATCTTGTCAGATGAAAAAAGATCAAAAAGTCTCCTAGCCAAAGAACTACATTATATGCCTTTGCCAATTTTATCAGTTATATTATGTACATACTCTGCAAAATATTTTTCACTCATTCTGAAGGGAGCTGTTCCAGAGAGAAAAACAGCGCCTTCGCGACGAGCTCCAAAGACTGGAGTCCGAGCTGTTATTGGCGCAGTCCACACTCTCCAGAGAGGCCGAGTGGAAGGCTAAGATGGAGAGCAAATACAAAATGGTGCTACAGGAGAAAAGAGAACTACTTGCTCAGTAAGTGGTATTTGAAATTGGTTCTGTAGAGAAGACAGAGAGAAAAACCCTCCTGATACACAGAGTTGAAGATGAAGTCAGAAAACAAATTCTGAATAGTTCTAAAAACATCTTGCTTATGGTAATGGAAGTTAAACGTGTATATGTATATAGGCCCAAAGAGAAAAAAAATGGCTGTCAAGTATGAAGGCAAACAGAATGCCAGACAGACAGAGAAAAGGTCACACTGAGAGTCCAGTATTCAGAACCAGTACAATTTTAATGATCACTCAAAGCATGCCTTATTTATTTATTATTATTTTTTTTTTTTCTGAACAAATGTCATGACTTACTAGGTACGCCAATGATGGCAGCAAGTGCCTCCAAATTATATCAGTCCACAGCCACTCTATGGAATTTGGGCACAACTTGATCTGCTTTGCCTTCTTTACCTTCAGCAATGATATGTACTGTGTTGAATTCAAAGTAATAGCATGGCTGCTCATATCTCAGAAATGCAGAAAAATATGAACTTGCCCATGCTAAGGGGGGGGGGGGGGGGGGGGGTGTCTTCAACTACTGGATGTAAAGTGCCAAAAACCATATACACCACAGTGTACAAAGGAATGTGTTCTTATTTCAGAAATGCAGAAAATGAAGAACTTGCCCGTGACAAGGCAAGGGCTCTTCAACTTCTGGATGTGAAGTTGAAGTTTGTGGAAGACGAGAACTTCCAGCTGCAGTCAAGACTAGATACCCTGGTCAAACAGAGGGCAGGGCTGGAGAACATGGTGAAAGAGCTTAAAGCAAAGGAAGAGAGAAATGTAAGGGGGTGACAAGTCTTATCTTAAATGTGATTACTAATAAGTAGTAAAATTTGAAAGTGTTAAACAATGAAAAAAGAAAAATATTACACAGAAATATGTTGAGTGACTATATCTTTACAATATAAAACAGTGAATTAAGAACGGAATGAAATAAAATGGAAAGTTGCCATTGGTATTTTTTTTTCCAACTTAAACAGACATGATGCACCAGTATAAAAGTATTCTATCGTCTTTGTTTTACTTTCAGGATAACCAAAAATCATTCACCCATGGTCTGGAGAATGGAATCTCAGGCAGAGCTTCCCCTTTATTTCAGGTCAATCCAAAGTTTTCCAATAAACCTTATTTCCAAAATCAAAATGGAGGTAATGACTTAGGGTCCATACTGTTACGAAGGACCCCGTCACCATTTTTAACTAGCACACCCGTGAAATCAGACTCACCCGTGAGACCAGATTCGCCATTGAGGTCACAATCAGATGTGAGGTCACAATCAGATATGAGGTCACAGTCACCTGTGAGGTCACAGTCACCTGTTAGGTCACTCTCCCATATGATGTCACAATTGCCTGTGAGTTCGCAGACAAATGTTATGCCACAGTCCCCAGGGAGGTCATATTCACCACTGAGGTCACAGTCACTGGGACAGGTCAACCATAATGGTCCAGTTTAAAGGAGTGTGAACAGCAATACAGGGCCAGTCAGTGGTAGTGACAGGCTCTCAGGGTATTTAGATTCATAGCATAAGTGTACTGATATAATTGTAGTTCACCTTTCCTTTGCTTTGTTTGTTTATTTATTTTCATTTTTCCTTTTTTGAGGATTGTATACTTATTGCTTCTGCAGCAATACTTTCATTTTGCTTTTTTTAAAAATTTATTTGTTTATATAATGTCACTCAAAGTTAATTTCATTATTTTTTGCAACCAGGCTTATTGCATGCTAGTGCAGGCATGATTATTAGTGACTGGAGGAGCAGTTAAGATAACATGAATGTCAAAATGGTCAATAATAGTATAAACCTGTTACATGTTTAAATATTGTCTTTGTAAGTCATTGTTGTTGGTGGTGTTTTCTTTGTTTGTTTCTTTAGTTTTAGTGCCAATGAACTATTTCTTTAATTGTGAACAAATGTTCTACATGGAGTAAAGTGACTATGAAGTTAAGGATTTGTTAGGGTTTATTAGTTAGTTTGATGGTTAAGTTTTAAATCTGCAAGCCATTTAGATTCAGTGGGTATTGTTTTGTAAGTTTATTTGACCTTAACTTTGGTCTTTTTGGCCTTGACCTTGTCACATAGACCTTGACCTTGTCACATAGGCCTTGACCTTGTCATGTTGCTCTTGACGACCAGATTCTACAGGTTGTGAATAAATCCTTCCATATTTATTAGAGGCAGCAGCAAATACCGAGCCACTGGTGATATTACTGATTTAATTGTTATTTGACTCATTGAAATCATTAAAACAATACTGTTTGAGATGAATTAAAATGTTTTGAATTCTTCTTTTTGTAGGTTTTGTATTTTATTCATTCATATCATTGTTTAATAATAATGCCTTTAGCATTGTAGCACCTCAGTTATAACAACGATGTATTTTTGTCTAAATGTGTGTCATTTGTAAACTACATATTTTATTTTATGTTTATGTGTATTTTGTTACTTGTTATACACGATCACCTGCACTAAGTCAAAATTTACAGGGTTAGTTCCGTCCACTTTTACTGCTACCTTTCCCCAAGAAAATATTTTGTATTTTTGGTTAACTTATTTAGTATTAAATTACGTACTGTTTCAGCACACACTTTTCTTTATATATCCTATGCATTTAAATCAAATTTTCAAATTTGAATTATTAATTTATTGTTATGTTGACACTAAATGTTCCATTTAACATATCATTTAATGCCACAAACATATATATTTTTAAAGTTTTGTTTGGCACTCAATAACACTGCAAGTATTAGGATGCTAAAAAGGCACATACTTGCCTCCAGAGAGTATGTGACTCACAGGTATAACACTATAGGGGACAGATACATCCCTCCAAAGGAGGAGTGAAGGGGAGGGGTACTCAAAAGTTTTGTTACAGTTATTAATTACTGGAATTGGGAGCAGTGAGATTCATCCAAAATTTTTTGTACACCCTTTATCATCTGTCATGGTGTATTTATTTTTATTATTATTATTATTTCACTAAAGGTATGCTTTCTTCATGTTTTTTAAGTATGGAAGACAGAAATGTATAATCTCATAATTTTTATGTAACACATCATTGCAGAGTTGACAACAGCAACAATTCCCTAGGTGCTATTGCACAAAGTGTCTTTATGATATTACCAATGTATATCTTTCTATTTATCTGCACCAAATATGATTATTTTGATCAGTAGGTAAAACCATTAAGATATTATTAATAGCCAATAATTTTAATGTCAAATTAATAGAAGTAGTGAATTTCTATGCAGTCAGAAGGTGTTAGGACTAAGAATTTGCGTTAAAAATATTTTATGTATTTATAATAGTTGTTTATATTATGAAAACGACAGAGTTATGGGACCATTAATTTATTGAAGATATGCTATTTTATTATTTCAATTATCTTGCAGATATGAAAACATTTTGCTAAAGTGCAGGGTTTCTGTTTTTTTTTACCCTAAACAATTAAGGCTTAGGCTCAGAGCATCAAAAGCCATATATGAGCTTTCAAAAACTCGTTAAATAAAGCTAAGATTAATAAGTTAACCAGTGTTTTTTTTCATTGTCGATATAAAACGCAAGGCAATGGCGTCACAGGACCCGGTTTCCTCCACTAGCCGCTGTTAAATTTTCTACGTGAAACAGCTGGGTGATGAGTTGTCGATCAAAAATCCCCTCTAGGACAAAATAAATGCACAGCTATTGAATAACCTGTAATAAATGTGAATGTCTGGTGAAAACACTCTCTTTTTGGTCCCGGTAGAAGATACCGCTGTGGACGCCTACGTGCTTCTAACTTCGGGCTGCGGAGACATGCACGGATCGTCATCGTTGGCTTCCAACGGACATCCTCCTGCTTCCGCTGATTCTGCTGATACTAACTTTAAATACTAACAGTTGATTTCAAATAATATCAGATTTGAAACCAAATCTTACATTCATTAGACATCGTTTAAGAATAGATAAAACATTCGTAGTGTGCAATATCATTTATGTATCATCAGTAAGCATCAAGCACTAAAATCTAAACGGAACTGTGCATATGACAACAGTTCCCACTTTTTTCCTGGTTATTCTTTGAAATTATGACGTCACATAATACAATGACGTCACACGTTCACACCTAGGCACGGCAATCAATAGCAGACGGGCTTGCAGCCAAGATACTTCTTATACTTCACGACAAACTTCCCTTCGCATTTATACACCCAGATGAATTTCCTGTTTCGGGTAATTCCGTATGTCCCCTTCCCGGGCCAGCAGTGGGCGTGGTAGGTTTTGGCTACGTCATAGTATCGGACCATGTAGTCCCCGCCTCCGCACATGGTGAGCTTGTCATAGAAACCGCATTTGAGGAAGCCGTATTTCCATCGCCATATGCAGTCCATCCAGCAACCTAGGATAGAAATAGACTAAAAATGAACTACTTTAAGAGAAAACTCATGTGCGTTCCCAGCGAGGTGAAGACACTTGCGGGAAATCAAATCTCTTTGCACAGCAAATACAATTTGGAGAACTATCGTCAGCAGCATTCACAATGATTGCGTTTGTTGTGACACATACTTTGATTGTGATTGTGGTGAGATTTCAGGTATTTTTCCTCAGATATTACCCTTTTCTCTCAACCCGACATTTCCCATTGACCGAGTTACTTTTTACAGAACGAAGTCACTCAACGCGTTAAGAGAAATGAATTTGTTTTTACATCGTACGCTCAGCGTCAAGAGTAAAAAGAAAGTGCAAAACACTGTTACGTCGCACGAATAATCATCTGTTAGCACTTATATTGATTTTTTTATATTTACTATATTAACACCTAGTAATAGATATTTTAAAAACAATAATGAAAGTGCTAATGCATTACTTTTCGCGGTGACCGTTAGTATAAGTAGCCTGAATGTTATTGTTTGTTTTCATTCCATTTTCACGTTCAAAACACCAACAGGTTACACTTTTCGAATTCTAGAGCAAAATTAATGCAAACTTTCGTAAATGGTTGTTGCAATGGCACCAAGTCCTAGATGCTTGCCTTCAGAAAATCTTAATTAAATTCACA